TCACATAAAATGAAAAGGAGGAAAAATAGGCACGACGGGTGTTCGTTCGGGTAGGACAGGAGGAGGAGACCACGCCATAGCACCTACCAACCACCCAATTTTGAACTTAAGAAAACAGTTCAAAAGAGAAAAACATCTACCTGATGGCGGCCATTTTGGTGAAGGGGCAAAGGCAAAGCAATACAGACATTAAAAAAATGGGAAAAAAATTATAAAGTCGGTCCAACCACACTATTGGTGCCCTCCAGAAACGTAAACAGAGTAGACCAATGGTTACAATGTTAAAAGAATAACAAGTAGAACACACCACCACATTGTCTCCAGAAAACATCAATGCATGTAGTTTTTTGGGGGGGTTTTCGGGGGCTCCAGTGGCCGAGTAGATAATGAGTCCATGCTCACAACAAACGCCATGCATACGTCGGTGACACAGCGCATTTTTGAAGTGTATAATTTGCGTTTGTGAGCATCAAACTCACGCCTCTACACGCGAGGGAAGATGGTAGCTATTACACCACAGGCGCCTGTCTATGTAGGGTGGTTTCTCAGAGTACCGTATAGAGCACACCCGCTGTCTATTCCTGTTTCTCCAAATGTTTTCCGTCTTCTTCTTCTCGATCACATCACACCTGAAGTCAGGTATCTTTATCAACTATCATCTGTTTTTAGTTTAAGTAAGAATTTTACGGTGTTTGCAACATGAACATGTCATATAAGTGCTGAAGATTTTAAGTGTTACTAAAGAGTAACATACAGAGATAAAGAGGAGAGATAAGGACGATAGACGTTTGATAGGAAGAAGGAGCAAACTACATAAGAAAAAGCACCAAGTAGGCCTACCTACCGAACAACTCTTTTTTTTTTTTTTTGGTAAAGTGTTTTACAGCGCTCACAACTGCATAAGGTCATATGAGCGCGCGGGACACACCTAATATTTTCAGTTGATAGGAAATTTGGATTTTAGACCACCAAGGGATCTTTAACGTGAGCAACTTGCACACGGGCCCTCCGAGATTTTTCGCCCTTGTCCGAGAAGGTGTAGATCATTCCTACCAGAAGATCGGGGGTGTGGCAGAAAGACAGCAGTGTAAGGAGCCAAGGAGTAGCAGTAGAAAGGCTGCAGAAAGAGTCAGGAGCCCAGAGGAGGGAGCAAAGGAGGTGAGGGGGTGGGGGCAGAAAGTGGAAATGAAAGCAGACAACAGAAAATTGCTAGAGAGCAGGAAAGGAGGTGAAGGGAGACAATTTTAGAGAAGAAAATGTTTTGGTCGCTACCTGGATTCGAACCCGGGACCTTTGAATGAGAGGCCAACACCTTAACCTCTAGGCCACGAGAGCCCCCCGAACAACTCTGTGCTCAAAGGCATTTGATTGGGTCTGAATGCACGGTAAATCTTTTTACCTTTGATTCGATTTTAATAATTCAGGAGGCGCACCGCATGGCCCTTGCCTGTAACTGCAACGGTCAACCTGTCTGTGTCGGATCCAGTATCTATACAGAAACACTGGGATACTCGATACATATATTAATAAACTTTCCAAAGTGGGAAGCTTGCTATAACGACGTCTTTTGCAGGCAACGACAAAAGAGCCTAACCGTTACGTTCAAACGCCCGTTTCAATAGATGTTTGCTTGAGTAAAAGAGAAGCACATCGAGAGGATAGCGGCCATTCAGTGCAATAGAGGGAAACGCTGACAGGTAAGCGCAAAAGTAAGGAAGTACCCCCTAACAACCCACCCTCTTGAAAACCCAATCAACATTCTGAACCGATCAAAGCCGCTTGGTTCCATCCACGCATACATTTTATGAACTACGTTCAAGAGCAAAAAAAAAGGTTATTTTTTGTTATGCATTGATAATGAAGGATAAACGGAACGACTCCAAGTCAACAAATGTCACGTTGTTCCGATCGCGGCTGTATGCACGAGGTAAGGCCTTTTTTCTGGCAATATACAATTTTTTTTTTTTTATGAATTGTTAAAAAAAGGACCGCATTAAGCCATAAAGTGGAGGACAAAGAGACACCATAGACTCCCAGTCACACAAACAGACAAAAAGGAAGACTGGAAATGAACTCACCCTCCCCCCTTCCCCCGAAAAAAAAACAGCCAGAGATCACAACCTGACAGAAGGACGTCCCGTGCCTTTCCTTTGTTGAGAATTATTATCATACGTCATTTGTTTGGTTTGATCTGCGTGTGTGAGCTTGCTGCCACCATAAAAAAAGCGGCGTGTGGAACAAGTTTACCGAATCAAGCCATACGAGTAGTGGGGGGACCGGGAAAAATCTAGTTTGAATGAATAGCTCCATAGTCTTCCCCTCAAGCGGGCAGCGGCAGACGACAGGAGTAGACAAGCCCGCCGGTGGGGAGCAGCGAAAGGCATGTAACTCTTGCGTAATTATTGTTAGGTCGCAGGAGTTATCGATTTTTTGCTGCCGCTTCCTTTCCACCAACTGCCACAGCAGCACGCATGCCCGGGCCCATAACAAAATAGAACAGCACGAGTCTCGTTTTCACCGCGGCGGTAAATTCAACTCAACCTGTGTGTTGTTCACAGACGTGACTTCTTTAATTCTTAGGCCACGGAACCGCTATTGCACGCGATCTGCCAAACGCCTTTTCTCGTTTATTATTACGGTCACGGGTTGAATGGGCTTTTTTTCAACACTGCAAAAATCCACCATTCTCGACGATACAATGCAGTTTCATTTTAAAAAACCCAGAATATTTAAGTGTTTATGGTAAAGAGAGAGAGAAAGAGAAAGGAAGGGGGGGGGGGGGGGAGAGAGAGAGAGAGAGAGAGAGAGAGAGAGAGAGAGAGAGAGAGAGAGAGAGAGAGAGAGAGAGGGGGGGGGGGGGGGAAGGGGGAGGAATAAGAGGAAGCTCACCCACCATCTGTTACCATTTTATGTTACAACAGTCCACACTACAGACTGGTAAAAGCCACAAAAGAAAAAAAAAATAGGGAAAATCAACAGAGATACAGAGAACGCTTGCAGCACAAACACATAAATGATAAATGTTCACAGACAACATATAAAGCAGAGTGAATATATGGATAATAATTATTATAATAATAATTTATTACAATTTTCAAATTTGTATCATTGCTAAAGATGTCGATGAAAATGATTGTGGCAGTATGGTGGTGGTGATGAAGATTATGAGGATGAGAATGATGGTGACGATCATCACTACTTTTTTGTTCACATTAAAACTCATGCAAAAATAGAATGTATTTTGCTATTCACAAAATCACATGGAACACAAAGCATTATAAAAGGCATTCAATTTAAAAAACATATTTGTAACCAATGTAACAGCACAACATACGACTCATCATATGTACACACGAACTCTATCATTATCGTGAAAAAAATATATACAATATAATAAATAGTACACGTTAACTTGAAGAGGCAATTTGGTGATATATATGTATCAAAGTAACACATTACACTAGTGAATATGAAAGTACTCACTTCCTTGTCACACTAATCAAACTCGTGCGTTAAGCAAAATGGATTATGAATGACTAGATTAAATTTTACTTCCCTGATAAACGTTTGCATAGTGTTTGACCTTTAGTAGGCTAAAGTACAGAAACATCACATGGCTGAAAATGTTTTTGGCTCATTCTGCTAAATCGCAGAAAACAGGACAAAAACAGGCAATGTACACAGAACAAATGTAATTTGGACTATCTAAATGTTCAGATGAGCCACAGGTTCCAAACAAGCAGAGATGATAGAACTTACGTCCATGGAAAAGAAAAATTACAAAAATCTTTTTGTAAACATTAAATTCTATTCCATAAATTATACACTGAGATATTCAGCACGAGAACAACACATACAAAAGTGAAATTTTACTTGGAAAATAAAAATTTAAAAAGCTGAAAAACAAAAAACAACAACCACAAAGAAACCAAATCATGGACACAAAATCACATCAAAGCCTGAGTGATGAGGCAGTTATCACTCAGAACAATATCAACAGCATGCTTGGCATGGAACAAAACACCAACAAAACTGAAAATACGAATAACAACAGTAACAAAGCTGGTGTTCCCTCACGTGAAATAAGTGACCAGTCAGGGATCTGGCCAGCAGTACAACATGAAGAAGCAAGGTGAGCCACCGACAGACCACTCATGACAGAGAGAAAGAAGACCGGTGAGGTATACTTATCAGGACCGGTAGGCCTACTCAGCTGCACAGACATGAGATAAAACTGATGGGCAAACCACCATTACACAGTGAGACACAGTATCCGATTGATGGGAATAGGCAGAGGCGAAGGGTAGACCAATAAATGACCATATCTACAGCTCCCTTCCTCATCCCGACAAAAATAAACAATAAAAAGGTCAAATAATCACAGATTGTAGATGAATGTGTAAAAATTTGGTCTAAGATAACAGTGGTCATTTCACATACGCTACCCTGTCATAAGCCAAAACTTGGACCATCGGAGCTGCACAATAATGAAATGACACACAATGGGAGGGGGGTAAGGGGCGCTTTGATCAGTGTAAACTGAACAGAGAGTCACAGACAATGCAGAAAACACTCGTAATGATTCACTCTGAGTTTGTTTCCCTTGTCCTTTACTAAAAAATTTTCTTGTGTCACTTTATACAGTATTACTGCAACACCAACTGAGCCTTCCAGTGACAACAGAGTCAAGCCCCAAGTTAAGTGAGGTACTCTCAGCCTCTTGAATCAACAAAACCCCGCACTCGATCAACCAAGGCAGGTGTCACACAACAATGTCTTAAGACTGTTGAGAAAACCAGCTACAACCCATCAGTTGATGGGGAACTCTTCAAGGAATGCTTCGTACCAAACGAAAAGGGGGCAAGTTCGGTGGGACAAGCCGGGAGGAAGGGGGAGGGGGGGTCGGTTGTGAGCAGAAGAAGGGTGGTTTGGGAGTGTCATGAGTGGTCATGAGAGGCAGAGTGAGGTTGCTCAGAGATGCACAACAATGCTTGCACTACCTCGGCCTCTGACTCCGCTTGGCGTTGCTGCTCCTGCTGGTGAATACGCAGTCTCTCCTGCACCTGACGGTTCCGCAGCTCAACTTGTTCTCGCAGGAACGCGTCTTCAACCTTCAAAGAAAGAAACAAAGGAGAAATACAATACATTTACTCAAGAACATCAACTTCTATATATCAGCAGGGGGGAGGGGACTGGATGTCATCGAGAGTGGGCGCCTGCGTGAGAAAGACTCGGTCCTCCGAGTACCCTCAGAGCAGACTCTTGGTTCGCAGATGACATCAGCGTACATCTGCTTGGCGGCATGGTTTTCGGCAACTGGAAATATGGCTGTAAAAAATTAATTAATTTTGTAGGGTGCTCCAGATGACATGTGCCCTCTGCTGGGCCAGGTGCCCGGAGCCTGGGGTCTGACATGCCTTGTGCCCCGCGACCCATGCTAATCTTTCCAGTAAATGTAACCGGAGACCTTTGCTGCAATAAGGGCTTCTGAAAAGAGCATGCTAGCATGAAGTATGAAATGGAGTAAATCACCTGGTCCTTTGTCTGTCATTAAACTCAGCAGCAGTGTTAAACAAGAGCTGGGATGGTTCATGCCATTCTATCCTCTCCCTGGAAGCCTGCAGCTGAGGGTGTCTGGAGCCAGGCCCAGTACAATGTTTTCATCACCAGGCCAGCCCCTCCTATGCAGCACTAAGGGCAGAATCACTCAGGGACAGAACATAATCAGCTGCTTTTCTTTCACAGTGTGAACAAAGCACATTTATAATTGGTTCCAAGTTTGCAATGAGCCAGAGAAAAGCAAAGAAAGTGGCATCTTAAGGAGAGGCATGTGTCAGTTGGAGGAGAAAAAAGAGAAGGAAGCACATGTGCTCACAGCCAAATCTCAAAGCCAGTCTTATGAATGCTGGCAATAATGTAAGACAGCTGAGCTGGGGAGCATGTACCCCACTAAATATTGATTTTTTTCTTTGTCTTTTCACACCCTATTGTCTGTTACAAGTGCAATTTTGTTATAGGGCCACATCCCAGCTATGAATATAACGGAGCTGCAGGGGAACGTGCGTAATGCACCCACACTGCCCAGGCAAGCTCCCAGACTTTCTCAAGGCTTTCTTCTCAGTTTCTTGCTCTGTATTCTTTGTCTCCATTAGCCTTCTTAAATAACAGCTTTTCCTCATAACCTGGCAGATGGAAGATTTACTAAAAGAAAAAAAAAGGGGTGGGGATAAAAAGGTTATGGAAAATAAAGGAACCATGAAAAGTGGGAATTCTGTTGAATTTCAAATGACAGCATGTCTCTTCCTGAAAACCTTGCAAAAACTTTGAAAACAAATTAACAGGATGCATAAGTTGTACTTGTTCAATGCTCTAGGCCCTCCAGCATGCCATATGGGCAGCAATTATCAGATTTTGTGCATTTGTTCTCAAAAAAGCAGAATATAATATGCAGCCTTAACTTCTGCCAAGCATTCTTCAAAGAATTAGAAAATCTAAACAGTATGTCTTGAACTGAAGCCCAGTTGCCCTGCAGGTCTTTGATCTCTGAACAGGTTTTAAGAGAATTGACTTTGTCAAAAATCGTTCATAGAAATTATTTAATACACTATAAACCTTGCATCACAGAACAGTGCGGCCAGTTTAAAGTTCAATCCATTCAATGCCCATTGCCCTGAAAGAAAATTTATTCAGGGAGGTAACTCTTTATGGCAAATGGTGGGATAGAAGACACCAAGAAAATACCCCCCCCCCCCCCCCAAAGTGAACGATAAATTACAAAATCATAAATAGCATTTGTAAGGTAAACAATAATAGCCATTGAAAAGTGGGTGCTGCTTCATAGCTAAGTACATTAATATTGATAAAAGACCTAGTATTACTCATTCTGCCAAACTAGAATTATTGAAACAAGACATATATATGAAGATAATGCGTAGAGTTAGAGTTGTTCCTTCCTATAAAAAGAATAGATGGAAAGGACTGAATAGTTTCAAATCGACCACAATTGTACAGTAAGAACAAAAAGTGGTAGAAAAAAAAAAGGAAAAAAAAAGAGAAACCAGCAGCGTCTTGGTAGCAAACAAAACAGCAAGCTGAGTGCTAATGGAAAATAGTTGAGAAGGAGGGGGGAAAAAAGCCCCAAAGAACAGTTTTCGTCTAGTTTATCATTTTACTTCAAAAGAGATATTGACAAACTAAAAGTAATTTGTGAGAAGTCCTTCTAACTCATTGATGAAGCATGCTTTAAGAGAGGGTATGAGTTTTGGTGATAAAAGAATACTTTCAGAAAAATATGCACCCAGCACGCAACTCGTCTTAATTGGCTCTTCATGCTAGACCTGGGATAAACAAATCTTTTATTTATCTCTATCAGCAGCCGCAAGATCTTTCACTGTGCCTTGTTTTTAAAAAATACTTTTAGTAACTTCTTTAGCTCATGACATCGACCAACAGACTTCCTTCTCTACACATCCCTTTGGAAACAATAAAATCAAGAATTGCCAGACAGGTTTGCTGTCAAGCTTGTGATTAAGTTTTAAAGCGTCATTCAAAATGTTATGTAAGTGACAATAAGAGGGATAAAAAGTAACTTTCTTGTGAGGCATTGATCATACAAGGTAGCCCACAAAGTTGAAACAAGCATAATAATGTCCAATATATACACTGACTGTTGCTTCACAAAATGCTTTTTAATCCCTCAACTACAACTTCTAAAGACACAAACTGATGTGGGGGTAGTGAAAGAGCTCTTAATAAAAAAAATATTAACTGATACTAGGCCCTAAGTAAAAAACTATACAATCATCAATAATAACTGCAAACAGTAAACCGATAGGGGCCTATCAGTGAAACGGACAGCAAGAGATCCTAAAAGCAAAACCACCTGTTGGTAAAATGTGAAGGATTATAATATCAATATAACAATAATAAGTAATAATAGTTTGTCCCTGAATGTCTGATGATGGCCAATATAAATTACTGTCAAACTTGTCCACGATGACCAAACGAAAAACAAAGCGGTCATCATAGATAGGTCGTTCTCTTGGCTAGTGTCATTACAGTATTACAAAGTAAAAAACACACAGGTGAAAATGGGAAGCGGTTCTTTATAATACAGGCGATTGTCTTGGACAACTGGTCATCAGAGCATATTCGACTATAAACTATAACGGAATATGAGAATAGACTCACCTGTGCTCGCTCTTCATCAAATTCCAAACAACCAACACCATCTAAGCGAGATAAGTCGACCCATCCTCTCCACAGTACACAGACACCATTGAGTATGAACTGACTTTTCAGATGAACCTATGGAGTATATCATAAAAACAAATAAAAATGTGAAGAGGGTAACATTTGCACTCAATCATCTTTACTATAGAGGATGTTTTCAGACATACAGAACCAACAATTCAATTGTTAAGTTCACATCAGATACAAGTTTCATTGACAAGCCTACTTGAGATTATGAATTTTTTTTTTTTTTAAGAAAAACTAACATAAAAACTGGTTTTCTGCCCACCAGAAGCACTGTTTCGAAGTTCGACAAACTCTTGTCTACTGATGAACAACTCACAAATCTTACAAATGCTGGCTTATTCCAATGAATGAATGGCCTCAGGATAATATTCCATTTGTGGGACTATCAAAGGTTCTGCGACATTCTTTAATTAACGTGTTACATGATGTGCACACTGAACTCAGACTCAAAAATGACCCAAGACAACCTGAGTTTGTGTTTGAACACAGAGACAGAATATCCGTGAGACTAACATAAAAAACTTCATCTTCATACACATAATACATAATGTTGCAACAGTGAAATGAACAGTTGTTTGAGTCATAATCAGAGACCTGTCAGTAGTCTTTTTTGTGTGTTTAGGACCAAAGAACACAGAATGTCTGCTCCTATTAGAATAATGATTCAAATAAATTCAAATCTATATTTTCATAGTATGATCGATTCAGGCAACCAAAAAATCAATTTTTATGAATAATACCGCTGTTAGGGTTGTTAGGGTTAAAGTTACAACATCAAGAATGAAGCATGAAATTGAGAAACAGTTCTAGATACAGCAACAGAGCAAGAGGTAGCTAAACCCATGCACCCCCCCCCCCAAGTCCAACTCAGGAAGTAAAACCCAGCTGTTAACCAAACCTAGTAACCGCTAAGTGGATCAGTTGCTCACACTACCTTGTCTAAAAGTACTTAGGGCCTACAGTAGTAGGGCTAGTAGTAGTGGCGCTTTTTCGGTAGTTCCCACCCCGCAATTGTTATTCACTGGTTTTGGCCCCAAGAATAGGGGGGTTTCAGGGGGGTTTGCCTTTTATATAAATAAGGTGGGGGGTTTCACCTTAACCCTAACCCTACCCCTAACCCTACCCTTACCCCTACCCCAAGCCCTCAATTCTGCTCTGTCTCATAATGGTCGCTCGTTACAGAAGTCCTCCCGGACTTGGAATCAGCAATAAGAGCAAGAAAAAAAAAGCAATCCATCTAATCTACAACTGCACTTTTCCATTTCAATAGATGTCTCCAAATCGGGTATTTTTTAACTTTCCCTCCCGTCTCACACTCAGCTACCAGTTGTCTATTTTCTGCTAAATATTGATGCGCTGAACACGAATATCAACTTCATTTCCGTCGCAAATTAATAGTTTTTTTGAAATATTTGATTGTTTTTAACCGAGATAGACATGCTTTGGACCAATCGGGGGGTTCCAGGGGGGCCTGCCCCACTGGGGTAAAAGAAAATCTGGGAGGTTACAGGGGGGCATGCCCCCCTGTTTTTACCCATAATTTGATATTTTACAGTTAGATCTAGATTTGAAATTGTCTTGAAAATAATTGATTTGCGACAGTTTTAGAGGCTTTATGTGTGATCTGCAGCAAACAGTAGGCTACAGCAGTTTGACCCCTGAAACAGTGCATCTGTGTGCGGGAGTGAAAGTAAAAATTAACCCCAAATCGTATCCCATGCCAGTGCCAGCCCTAGGCCTTGATCAAAATCCATCCTTTGTCCCAACCTGCTAACCCACTCAGTTGGTCGTTAGTCACCAAGCGCTGATCAACAAAATAGATGTCCTCAAGCCTCATAATTCTTGAATGTTAGATCTAGATAGCTATATAGATCTAGATCTAGATGATCTAGATATCTAGATCTAGATTCTTCTAATCCAGATTAGATATAAGATATAGATCTAGATCTAGATTATAGATCTAGATTCTAGATCTACCTAGAATCCAAAAAAGAGCATAACTTAAATCTAGATCTAGGCTCTCTAAGTATGATTGTAGATCTAACAAACGGAAACAAAAATGTTGACATTTTTTTTCCGGACTATTGTCCAGTTGTCATATCCAGACTATGACGTAGATCTAGATATAGATCTAGATCTATATTATGATGTTGTCGGCGTGTCGGTTGGATTTCCCACCCAACCAACGTCACGACTCGACTTCTAATACTTGTTGTATTCTATATAATCTGATGTAATCTAGATCTAGATAGATCCTAGACCTAGATCTAGATCTAGATCTAGACCTAATAAACAAGATCACAATACATTTTAACAGATGTAACTAACCGAAGATAAGCCACGTACTCATCCCTTCACTAACTTGTTGAATGCAGTCTCCTGCTCGAACTCTAAAATAAGCCACAGCGTTTTTTCCTTCGCCCCAACTTTCGCTTTCCAAACTGTTCAACTTGGCCTAGGAATCAGGAAGTTCCGGTCCGCCCCCAATGCTCCACGTGACTTGCCTCCCATGTCATGCATATCATTAGTTTCCGTACGCGACGAAGGTCAAATTTACGAGGATAGTAATAACGGTAACCTACTTAACGGTCCTGGGCACAGCCTACAGTCCTTCTAATCTCTTCCAGCCGCGGGGTTTCCCCAGGTTTTAAGGTCACTACATTTGACTGGTCAGTTGAGTCAGATGAGAAGAATGAAAGGGACTGAATGAAGAAGGAGTGAAGGTGAACGTGGGAGGTGACGAGGGGCCAAAACGATCATGTGAGCATTGAGGGGGTGGAGGGGGAGGTTAGCCAAGAGGTGCAGTGAATTTCCGAAACGCAAAAGTGTTTTTGTGTTCGAAAAATATGTTAGCTGATAACCCAGGTGACAAAGGAGAGAAACAGAAACTAATAATAATTTTACCCTTCCTTTTGGGCGGTGGGAGGTGTTCCATCCGTATGTTTTTTGTAGTTATAAAAATGTATTTTACTCGAAGCTATAAACAGACCAAAGCTAGATCTAGATCTAACAGCTGTAAGAAAGTCCACGTAATGTAAGGGTGAAGAAGAAACGGTGGGGGCGAGTTTGACTTTATTTTTTTAAGGTGTGTTTGGGGGGGATTAAGAGAAACAATAACAGCCTTGTAATATCACAACATTTTCGGCCCACAATCTCACTCTATTTTAATTATTTCCATGCTCCTTCAATTACTTCTAAGAAATCTTCAGTCTAGAGCTCTTCCGGTGGGAGTCTGTTATGAAGCGATTGTGCAATGCCCGCTCGTGCATGCCACGCTCATAACCGCCCCGCCCACGATTGATTGGAGTTGGCTACAGGCGTTCAGTCCTTTATACGCAGTTTGTCAAATATGACAAAACATTGATTGTGGGAACTATAACATTTTACAAGAAATCGTCTTTACCCATTTTTACTTCATCAAAGCGTCAGTCAGTGGAAGAATTATCATTCTAGTCCTGCCTCTTGTTATTCATTCTTTGTTTCTCCCCTCATTTTTTGTCGAGTCGTATGGGTGCCCGGTTGAAGCGATTTTTTAAATTCGTTGTTTCGAGGGGGAAAAGGGGC